GGGGGGGGTTATGTCTCAAGCCATTCAAATGCATGTTCCCAATTGTGACGTCACAGTTATCATTTTGTGACGTCACATATTCCGGAATTGTCTTCCGGTCACGTGACTTATGATAATTTGCACCATGTTTGGTCAAAATCTATGCAGTAGTTCTTGATATATATAACTTATAACCAAGGATGACTTACAGTGACGTCACGGTGGCCATTTTGTCACGTGACGCAGTTCTGTTAACATCATATCTTGTCACGAGAATTTCGGCATGACATTTTGCACCAAGTTTGGTCCAGAACTATGCAGTAGTTCTTGAGATACAGCCGCAAACATAATTACGTAATTTGTGCGTATTAAATACGTCACCGTATATCGTAAGCATCAAAACGAGACTGATAGGGCGATTGCCAATTTCTCAGAGAATATTACAACGCAAACTAGACCAAAATCCAACCTATTCACATACATAATTGTTCGGTTTTTTTACCCTTGTGACCATGAACTTTGACCGTGACCTTAACAAAAGCTGGGGTCGCATTCCCATATGTGACTGTATCTTTGTGCCAAGATTGGTCCAAATTGGCCCAGTAGTTCAGTAGAGAGGACAGACCTCATGTCATTTTCTTCTATATATGTTAAATAAATAAACTTTCTTCATCAAGAAACAGAGTCTTTACTTTTGCCTTCTTAATTACAACAATGGCAACCAACCCCACTGCAACACTGACAGGCACAGTTGGAAGTCCGCCTCCTACATAATCTAAATTGTGTCGTTGGGGGCATAAAAAAACATCTTCATATTTTTCTATTAAACAATTAATTACATAAGATTAGCACTCTTCCGATCTTTAACAAAATATTGAATTCTCACAAGGATCATACAGTTTGCATAAAAAATCAGCTTATTGTCATTCAAACACTGTGTACATTTTACGGCCTAAACTATATCAGAGTCATGCTCAGTGCTAACATTTTTAGATGTTTCAAACTGCAGCCATGAAAGTTTTAACACAAGCAAAGTTTCACTACTTAAAATAAAAACTGAATAAAGACTGTCATAAACCTCATGGTATAACTTTCAAATCAAAATCCAAACTTCAGCTTTCAATACCATTTTGGGTGTTTTTACAGTAAAAAAAGAACAGTTAAAAGCTTGGTCCAAGATGGATGGTTGGACTGAGAACTGGACATTCAGCTGACTGGGAAGCTTCCAGGAAAGACAAGCAAACAAGCAAAAGTCTACTGCTCAAATTCTGACCTGCTACTACACAGATCATCTTAGTGAGTGTCCTTTGTCTTTCTGCGTGGTAGGGAATAGAAGATTCCAACAGCCCTTCAGCAGTGAGACAGATACAGTAGAATATGACTATAGCGGGACTTTTGGTTCCAGAAGAAAAATCCCTCTGAAGGCAAGTTCCCACAAAAGGAATGCAAAGGAGAATTACTGAAATATTTCTACAAAATAATTGGTGAAGTGGATGCGTGCATAATATGCTTGAGCATCAACGATTGCAATTCAATGTTCTCCTCTTCTTTTACTTTTTGGCCTCACCGAGGCCTAGGGCTAGGCCAATCATCCTCTCAGAACTATTTTGTTCAAAGTCTACTTATCTAAAGAGGCACTTTGGACAAAATAGCTCCAAGGCAACGCTATGGCATAACACTTTTGGAGTGGCTTACGTAACGCATCTCTCCCAGCCGCCTGCCCCACCTCATTCATCACTGGACTGGCCAATCATAATTCCGCACCCCTGACTGCCTGTTTGAAGCCCGCCTTAAGTCCCCCAAGTCCCTTTCCTGCCTCAAGAGCTCGCTCGATCTTTCCCGGTGTATCCAAGTTCAGGTCTTTCCTTGCCCCGTTACACCCGAGCACAGGTAATTGTAGACAAAGAAAGGAGGATTCCGGTAAGGTACCGCTGAAGGGATGGTCTCGCTGCAGCAGGTGCCGCTATGGTCATGGTCTACTGTAACAACTTCAGTGGTTCACACCTTTTCATCCAATCAAATCTCAATTTGTCCTCATGAGTTGGGAGAAACTTTTTCCTCATCTCAGAATGCTTTCATCTGGCCATCCGTCAGCTGTTGATCAGACACTAGTCAGCTGCCATTCACATCATTCGGCTGTCAGTCAGCTGTCAGTCAGCAGTCAGTCAGGTGTCGGTCTGGTGTTGGTCAGACATCAGTCGATGGTCGGTCAGATGTCAGTCGGCTGAGCGCTGTACTGAGGCGTAGTATGACACTATCCCGGCCTATCACAGATATCATCTCTGCCAAAGGCGCTCCTTGCTGTAGAAAAAAGAAAAAAGAACCACAGTAATACAATGTAGTCACACTTGCAACTAAAGAGGAATATTTAACTCAATGGGCATTAGAGAACCTCTTGGACATTTGAAAGAAAGAAAGCGCATCGATAAGATTAAGTGCCGGGAAAGTTGTAAAGTTCATAGACCATGCTGTAGAGCAAGGATATGAGCAGTGGCGGCTCGTGGTTTATAGAACTGACCAG